ACTCCTACAGCTGGCAAGTTTTCTCAGGGCATTGTAGGTGGGTAGAATAAGGGGACCAAACAAGTTTATCTCTAGGAACATGTCCTAGAAGAGAAGGTAGGGTCCTCACCTTCTGGTGTGCATTTCTTTGCATATAAAAAGGTCAGTATATGGAGAGGGAAGTTCCTAGCCACCAGGACTTCAGCTGGATACTTCCTGCTGAAAAATCTCAGAAATCTCTAATCCCCATCTCACACTATCAGGGTGGCTATTTCCAGCACTCACTATGCTCTATTTGCTTTCATGCCTCAGAAGGCAGAGAAATCACAGCCAAAGCTTGAGCTGACAAATGGTAATAAAACTGAAGGACTCCCAGGCAGGATTTTGAGCTTGACCTCGGAGCTGTTGGTCAAGCTGCAGATATATTTTTAATGTAAATATTCCTGGTAACATGAGCTTGGGACTCATGCCAGCAAAGCTTCTGAGGGTCGGTTTCTCACCCTGTGTTCTGTGCACAAGTTTTTCCTTCTTAGAGCCTTTTCCTCTGTTTAGAAGCAAACTCTGTTTTATGATCTCTAAAGCAACTAGCAACTCGATGACTTTTTCAAAGCCAAGATGGAAAGACCATAAAACAGGTTTCAGAGATTGAGTTGAAACCCTTAGGAAACAGCTTCTGGCCTAGATTTGACAAATGTTTGTGAACATTTGGTTCTAGACTGTTTTTAAACATTAGAAAAAGCCTGTTTGCTTATGCATAATGCATTCTAAAATGTACTTGAGGTGGCTAGAACATGTGGCATATAAGAAAGCATTAGAGAGATAGTCACAAAGATTCAGAATCTTTACAGAATTAAGTAAGTAAATGTATTACACTTAAGAGTAATGTAGTTGTTAACATTGGGTACTATATTTGAGCTCCTTGGTGGTCAGGGTTAAGAGCAAAGTCTACCAAAAAGGAGGATAGGTTGATTCTTAGGGAGAAGTACTAGGTTCCATTTTGTCCTATGTATTTTGCTACTTGTAAAGTAAATATGTTACATGAAAACTTCCAAGGAGGGTATTGATAGTTACAATGGAAAGTGTCCTTCTAGCAACATTAAAACCAAGACAAAAGTAGTTGATAAAACAGCTTTGATAAATACCAAGGGTAAAATGTTGAAGCATGATTTGGTGAAGAATATCTTCTAAGGGACTGAGCTCACATGGGCTAAGTAAACATGTTACCAAATATAGAATTTAGATTATTCAGAATAATGGATAATTAGGATGCCTATTGGTTTATGTTTCTTCAATGTTTTTTCTCCTAGATACCTTTCAAAAGAAATGCTGAAAAGACAGTCTCAACCTAAACTCTTGACTTAACAAAATATCCCATTTTCCTTCTATTTTTCCTTCTCCTGTTCCTTCACTGGTCCTCTTCACCATATCTAAGATGTATTGATTTCTTCTACATGCCAATCACTATGCTTCGTGCTCATCACAGATTATCTTGATCAGTCTTCACAACACTTTGGAAATGAGCAATGCTACATGCATTTTTGGATGCAAAAATTGAGGCAGAGAGAGATTAAGTAACTTGTCAAAGGTCCCAGAGCTAGTAAGTGTCAGTAGTGGAATTTTCATATTGATAGTTGTCTGTCACCTCCATAATATTCTGCAACAAGCTGCCCCAAACTCTATAGCTCCAAACAATAACCACTTATTGTTAATGAATTTCAGAGTAGGCTGGCCTCTTTTAGTCTTGCCTGGCTCAGTCATGTCTCAGAAGTCAACTGTGAGCTAGATAGGTTGGCTCTGCTAATATTGGCTAGTATCTCTCATTTTTGGGAGTTGGGGTTTACTAGCTGTCAGGTGGTCTAGGATGACCTTGGCTTTTCTCTATGTGTATTTCACGTCCTTCCAGGAGCTTAGAACAGCATATGCTCTTGACATGGAAGAAGTGTGGAAATAAATAAGCCCATGTAGGCAGGAAGGGAAAGAGAAACATGCATGTGCTTTCCAAGATGTTGCTTGCATCATGTTTGCAAACAACTCAGCAGCCAAGGAAGTCACATTGGTGGAGCCCAGAGTTGACCTGGGAAAGGACTCCAAAGTAAGGGATAGAGGATGTGGATACAGTTAGGCCATAATGCAATAAGTCTACTTGGGAAATTCACAAAGTCTCAGCTTTTAATACCTATGTCTTTTGCCTATCAAAATTATCAGTCTTTTGAGTCTTAATGTTGCTACAAGGGCCATGATCCATGGTCTTCCAATTGGGTTCTTTTAGCCAATCTATATTCATGTAGGGATATGGGAAAATCCAAAAATTTTCCACCTGAATAGGAAGTGAAATGGTTTGGGGATGAGGACATATAGAGGGGTGCTTATTTCTTAATTTCTTATTTACTTATTACAGTAAGTAATACTCACTGAAGTACAAACAACCCCTGCATCTTAGAGGCTTCATCAAATAGTGTTTATTTCTCGCTCACCAAAAGTTCAAGCAGGTATTTGGAAGGCAGTCCTCTATCCAGTTCTAGGGTCTGAGAGTCCTATACTAGATGTTCTGCCTCATGCCAGAGGACAGGTGAAGAGGGAACAGGCTTGGAGGACTGCATGGGACCAAACTTGGACCACCTAGATTCCGTTGGTGAGAACTCAGTCATGGGCTGTACAGCCTGGAACAGAAGAAACAGGCCGTGGTAAACACACAGCAGGCGCACCCATGCCTTCAAGCCTTTCCACTTTGGAAGTGGAACGCGATCCTGCTTTGGATGTGCGTCCCTTCTCCCTTACCCCACGTACATCTTAGAGAAGCAAGTTCTATCCCTGGTTCTAGGGGTGAAGCGTTCTCTAGAGAAAAGGTGTTCAAGCCAAGACCTTCAGAGTTACGCAGGGGGAAATCTTAGGTAAGAGAATCCCACCAGTGAAGAGATCATGGGGCACAGTCCTGATGGAGGGGTGAGCACTGACTCTGGGAGGAAATGAGAAAAGACCTCCCGGTCCATGGAGTGGGAGACAGCGACGAGAATGGGGTTGTAAGCAAGGGCGAAATGTTCTAGTGCATGGCTACCCTGTGAGGAATGTGTTTGGCCGACAACATGGAAGGGGCAGTTGGAAGCTTCACTGTGATGAGAAAGACCAGGTAAACATGTATTATAATAATCTGGGAAGAAAGGAGAGATTTCTGGAACATGGGTTAGAGGCTAGTGAAGAAGTAAGTCTTAGGAAATGCTTAAGGCTTTGGCACTGACTAGACTTCAGAGGAATCTCAGTCATGCTTTTCATACATGACAACTTTCCTTAAATTCATATTCCCAAACATAAAAGAAATGGTATGTGGATTATCCACTGCTAGCCAACTCAGAACAATGCCCTATTGGAGCAGATAATCAAGGCTGTTCTCAAGGCCCCTCTGAAGGTACTGGCCCTTAGAGAATGACGGAGGATACACGAACCCAAGTGCAAAGGGAAACATGTCATTTTGAGCAGACTATTATTATGATCTAGAAGAGTAGAATATATAATTTGTAAGTGCTTTGATGATTGGAGGAAAATAGAAAATGGTCTTATTGGAAGGAGCAAGGGGAAAGAACTGTTTGCAGTTGCCTCCATGACATTTCAAAGCAGAGTCTGATATAACTCATGCCAAAAAAAAAAGGTCATATAATTGTCCACACAGTGGTGTGCATACAGTGATGATGACTCTATGAAACCCAGATAAAATAAACTCTAAGAGGTTCTATATTTCTACCTGAGGCAGTTCCTTCATCTGTGCCCTGGACATCATTCATTTCTGCTGTTTCAATCATTTTGCATCCTCTGGACTGTGGATTATTCTGGAATACCATTTGCTCAACTCTTCCCACTCTACAAAAAAAAATCTTCCTTGATTTTACTTCCCCCTTAACTTTTCTGCTGTGTGCCATCTTTTAATGGCAACATTTCTCAAAAAGACCTTTACACAACTCTATCCGTATCCTAAAATTGTACTCACTTCTGCAAACATGCCAAATTGAGCTTTCATTCCTATTACTCCAGAAAATAGTCTCTTTTCAATACCATGAGATGCTGCTACATTACTAAATAAAATGGGCTCTTTTCAATCTCTCCTCCCTCCCTCCTTCCCTGCCTCCCTCCTTTCCTTCCTTCCATCTATAGGAGTGAAACACAATACCAAGCTCAACTGTTTGAGAATTCTCGCTTCCTGATCAAATGGGCTGCTACCATCACTTGCACTGATCTTAAACACCTTTTTGATTAGGAGACTGTATTATTTCAAATGGCAAAAACACACTTGACAGTAGATACAATTGAATTTTAGTTAAATCCAATGTGGATCCTTGAAAATTAATTTTTCTGTATGTGCAGATACATGCAAACACATGCAGAAGCGCAACCTGTTAAGCTTAAATTACTACTATTCTTACCAAAAAAAAATAAGAAATAAGGGCATAAGAGTAATTTATGTTTTCAGTACTGATCCATATATTATTCCCTTCCATGCAAACAATGCAAAATTTCCCAGTTTCAAATCTTAAACTCTGCTGCGTAAAAGAGAGCAATGGAATTCTTCTATGCTTATGTTCAATGTCTGGGCACAAACAGAACATGTTCAAAGGAATCATTTTGTATAAATGTTCTTTTTTAGCTGCCGTGGTGTGTCCATCTCTGCTTCACAGCTAGTTTTAGAAGTGCCATTCTTGTAGTCTCCAGAAGAATGCCCAAACAGGCAAATAAAGGAAGCTGCTTATAGTAACTGAGAGCCTTAGTGTATCTTATAAATGGTGAGTGGTGTTGAGCTCCCCTCCCTGTCTCTGTGCCTGAGAACCTGACACTGAAGGTTGCTGGAGTGTGCTGCCTGGTAGATGCATGGTGAAAGTCTTCTTATTTAATTTACCTTTCCGTGGACACACTAAAATCAAAGAGCAAAGTTTAAAAAAAAAATTGCGTTGGTGGCAAAAGTTTAGAAAGAAGACTAGAGCCAAAGTTGCACTCAGGTGTTATAGAATTGTGTACATGAATACAAGTCCATGTGACTTGCAGGTAAATGGTAGCATCATTGACAAATGGCAGAAGTTCCCACTACGTGGCTTCTCTTCCTTCAGATTGCTACGGGAGACACACAGACCCAGGAAATTACCTGTCCAGAGTATAAGCTCCTTGGAATGTCTTAAAACCATTGTGTCCTAAGAGCCTTGCACTTAGTAGGTGCTCAGCAGGGGGCAGTGTGACACAGTGGTTAAAAGCTTGGATGACAAGCTCTCTCCAGATCTCCTCCTCCTCATTTGTAACATGGAGATGATCAGTCTTTTCATGGAGTCCTGCACAGATTAAATTAGATAATAGATAGTTAGCCTGTGGCACAGAGTAAATATTCAATAAATGGTAACATTTGTTATTTCTGCTTTTTATATTACTCTGATAAAATGTTCCCCTCCAGCCTAGAACTCTCATCCAAACAGACCTGCATATCTGGGAAGTCAGGGAAAGCTTCCAATTCAAAACGTCCAAAATGTAACTCGTGACCCGTCTAACCTCCAGTCTGATACCTGTTCAGCTCTTCCTGCTTCAGTGAGAAGCATCATCTGGGAAGTCTTAAACTACTCATCATCCTATTTGTAAACTATTTACAAACTTTCCTCTCTCCTGCTCCCGCCTGCTAAGCTAACCTGAGTCCCTTTGATTTTGGCACCTAACTCTCTTGAACAGTCCATTTCTTTTCTTTGTCTCTGGGCATTATGCTCCCTACCTTGGGGGTCTGCAATGCAATCCCACCTGGTCTGCCCCTCATTCCCTCTCTTGCTCCCCCTCCAACCTGCTCTCCACATTGGCAGAGAGACCACTCTTTGAGGAACACATACACGGTGGCCCCCTTGCCCCCTGCCGCGAGCCCTCCATTGCCTCCTAGTGCTCTGAGAATGAAGCCCCGCACCCCCACCGTCCCCCCACACTCAGCTTCTCGGCCCTCCTGCCCTTCCTCCCTTCTCTGAGCTGCACGCATTCCAGCTTGTTTCAGTTCCTCAAAGGGCATCCATTCTCCTGGTCACAGGACTTCAGCACCAGCTGGGCCACCCCTCCCTGTCACACCCGCCTTGGCCTGGTTAACCCTACCCACCCTGCAGTTTTGTTGTTTCTTCAGAGAAAGCTTCCTAAATAGGTCCAGCTTCTTCTTTATGCTCTCATAGCACTTGTACCTCTCTTTAATGAATGTTTATCACTATTAGCATATGGTATTTATGGTTATTTGATTCATATGTGTTCCTTCAAGATTACATGAGCCATGAGTGGTGGAAACAGGAATAGGTTTTGTTCACCTTTGGCTCTGCATTGCCCAGTGAAATGAGAGATGCTCAGCATGTGTGTGTGCACATGCATGTGCGCACACAGACGGAGGACAGCTGCGCTTACACCCCCAGACTCATCCCAGGTTCTTATTCACTGATCTTCCTTCATCTTTTCTCCAGCTGTCTGAAACCCAGGGAAATCAGGAATTTCATTGTATACTGATGATCATTTATACATAATGATAACTGGGGCAAACTCTTCTCTGACTTTGGGGATTTTTGTTCAGTAAAAGCCTTTAGCACGTACTCCCCAAGGCCAGACTTCTTTCTGCCTCTATCTGAATTCAGGCTCCCAGGGCTCCCTAACTCCCTAAAGATGACAGACCCCTGACAGAGGGAAGGAATAGCAACCAGTGAGAGAAGCTAGAAGATCCAACAGCCTACTCTCTTCAGTGAGTAGGATAGGGAACTGGTAGTAGGGGCCCCATTAGCCAAATACCAGGAGCTATGTTTCAACCAGGATCAACAGCCAGGTAGAACTCCAATCCAAAAAATGACTCAAAGAAGGCATTTATATAAACAAGTTGAACCAGTGATACCAGATGGTGGAGAAATGGAGGAAGCTGCTAATTTAGAGGGCTTTGGTTCAAGGGGATGTTAAGAGCTTTATCCAGGTATCGATCCTTGGTAGGTGGCAGGCTGAAGGTTGTTTTCTGGAAAACTTCACAAACCTTGGATATGAATTCCTCTTAATATTGGTGAAGAACAATGCTTCTCAAACTTAATATGCACACAGATCACTTGAGGATTTTGTTACTATTCACTTTCTGATGGTGGATCTGAGGTAAGACCACTGATTTATAGTTCTAACAAGCTCACAGATGGTGCCAATGATGCTGGCTGGAGGACTGCGGTTTGAGCAGTATGTATGTAGATCACTTCTACCAATCTTGGAGCAGATTCTCAAAGTGAGTGATCATGACCAGAGGATTCCAAGGATGATATAAGTCACAGCCCAGGCTGATAAGTTTGCTGTCATCTCTCCTAATAGCTCTGCTATTAGACTCATTTGTGCTGCAATGTTCTATAAGATGCAAGTCATTCTTAGTTATTAGAAAAAGCAAACTGGGCCACCATCAGCCTGAAATATACACAAGTTAGGAAAGGCTTTTGATAGATTCTGGTGTTTAGGACCTTGGTTGGCTCTATAGCCAAGACAGTGGTCAGCACTCTTTGAAACCAGATGACAGTTCAAGGCAAAGGTGAAGGATGGAGATGGAGGAAGAGTCAAAGATACTTACTAGAGTGAGATTTCTAGAACAATTATCTAAGGAGTACTCTGCTTTCTCGACATGTGCCATTTCATTTAAATATCATTGCAGCTTTATAAGGAAGGCAGTTTCACTTTTATCTCTCTTTTAGAGGCTGGAAACTGAAACCTAAAGAGACTAAGAAACTTTCCCAAAGTCATGCAGCTGGTAATTGAAGGAGCCCTAATTCTTTGACCCACTAAGACCCCCTTTAAATCTGCTGTTCTTAATCTCACATTAACATTTCTGAGGCTCTCTCAGAAAGTATCCATTTCTTAACCCTCAATAATTCTTATTTCATTGTTCTTCGAAAAAACCTGTCCAATCAATTTAATATATCTCCAGTGTTGAGTATTATTTCCCAGGACCTGACTCTTATCTATTAGGATTTATTTCCTCCAAAAAATAATTCAGCATTCAACCCAAAGCACTAGGAACACTTGATGGAATATTTTGAGAAGGCTGCATTTGGGGTGTCAGAGCCCAGTGCTAACTCTTGGCCCACTAGGCACTGATTTTATAACTGCAGGATGATTTCCACAGGCTATTTGCTAGGATTCTACATGATGATAGCCATGTAGCGTTTACCGTGTGCTGGGAGACACTATTCTAAGTACTTCACATATTCTGCCTCCTATAATCTTTCAAGACTGTCCTAAATTAGATACCCAGTAACATTCCCCATTGTACAGATGGGAAAACTAAGATTCTGGGAGGTTAAAAATGCCTTCCCTCATTCCAGGTGGAGCCGGGATTCAAACTCAAGCACTTCGGCCCCAGCCCCAGGGATCAACCTCTTTGCTACGCTGTCTGCCACTTCATGGGCTGTACTCATTTCTTACTGGCTTAAATAATGCATATCTTTGCTGCTTTGCATGAGGAAGGAGCAGAAAGGAGCTGAAACAGATTTATTTTGTCAGAGAAGGGAGTCCGTATTAGAGAATGGGGCACAGTTTATGGAAGTTTGGGAAACAGATTTCCACTTAAAACCAGGGAAACTTTTTTATCTGGCAAAGCCATCCAGCAAAAAGGGCTGCTTTGGGCTGGAACAAGTCCCTCCATCATTAGCATATCAAAGGTTTCCTGGGAACTACGTGATGGCGATGTTATTGAAGGGGTTCTAGGGTTGAACGCTGGAGTTGGCATGGTGCTGTCCGAGGTCTCTGTTAGGCATGAGTCGCTGTGATCTTGTGATCTGACTTCAGTCCTCAGACACTCAATCAGCAAGTAAGGGCTTGATCATTTACAGTTACACAGTGAGATGTTTCCAGGAATGATTTTGCTGTAGCATTTTAATAAGTACTCTATAAATAATAATTTATTGAAGTTGCCTACCATGTTAGCAAAAGAATATATTAAAGAACCCTGGCTAATTGAAGCTGGCAGTTAAGTTCCCAGAATTGAAACCAATCGGTTTATCTCTATGACTCCCAAGATTTGGGATGAAAACTGCTCATTATATTCCAACATCCAAATATTCAAAGATCCAGATGTTTCACAATATATTAACATAACCTTCCAGGAAACCTATGTGCAACACTGAGTTGAAAATGTTCTGATACAACTAAAAATAAATTGGATTAGAAAGAGCCTTTCCTTGTCTTTGGGTGGGAGCTGAAGGAACTTGAAAGACACTGAAGGCTATTACCCAAGTCAGCAAGACAGCTTATTCTAACTTGGATGGCCACCCAGCTTGAGCTGCTGCTGACTGTCTAATTCATAACTGCAGTCCCAGTGAATGTTTAACTGAGCACCTTTTTCCTCTCAAAAGTGATGTTGGTGTTCACAGTGCATCAACAAATATTTACTGAGTTGGATGAGGCAGGGAAAGGGGTAGGAGACAGTCCCTGCTACAAGAAGCTCACAGTGTCCAGGTGGAATGTCACAAGTCCAGCTGGCACAGAGAGGAGGCACAATGTGGAAGTGATCTGAGAGGCACAAACACCTATGGAGAGAACTGTGTCCACTCAAGGAAACCATCAAGAGCCTCTGGAAAAGAGAACATTAGGGGCTGGTTTAGAGCAGTGAGAAAATGTGAAACAGATAGAAATTGCCTGACAGTGATAGCCTAATGAATGGCATTGGCCTGAGGACTAAGCGGGAGTCTTGGTTTTCAGGTAATCCATTTGGGAAGGACTGCTGTGAAGGGCAAATGCCTTAATATGACTTTTATGGACTTCCCACCATGGCCGCACACTCTACTTCCCATTGCACACGTCTCTCCCCTTGTTCTCTTCTCCAGCCACAGCTTTTTATAGTACAGCTCTCTCTGCTGTGCTGTTTCAGTGCGATACCAGGCATGATATTCTTTCCTCCAGGAATACCCTTTTCTGGATGTTTTCATCTACTTCACAATTGTTTACCTCAAACATTGCTTCTTCAAGGAAGCCTTTTCCAATGTCCTGGGCCAGGTAGTTTCTCTTTACCATGCAGTTCAGTAGCCTCCTAGTAGGTATTCACTGCTATGCCCCAGGCTTGGTACGGAGCAGGAGCTCCAAACAACAGTCAGGTCATCTGGAAAGAGAGGCATAGATTAGAGACACGCAGCTTTTAAGCAGGAGTCTAGTCCAAAGATCTTCTAGAGTGGTCTTAGTAAGAACTTAGCACAATATCTCCAAGGGTAGAATGAGGGCTCTGAAAGGATTGCTGAGAGGAAGTCCTGGCATGTGGACAAGAATCCCCCTCCAAGCAATTCAGAAAGCAGACTTAGGATGAGTCTACCTAACCTAAGAAATCTCCCTACACTTCTTAAGTTTTCTTTTCAAGTGTTTGGCCATTTCTTCATAAGGGAGTTACTCTTGTCCCTGGAAAATCTATGCTGGGAATTGCATTCAGTCAATCAGTCATCCATTCATCCATCAAATGACCTCATGTGACGCACTGTGTACAACTTGATAGCACAGTACCAGAACCCAGGGATGAGCAAGGCTCCTTTCCTCTCCTAGGAAAGAGGGGAGGCTAGTAGAGGAGACAGATGCTTGAAACTGAGGATAAAACCTATTTAAGTACTGAGTCTCCTCTTCTCATTAGGCCCATTTTGGACTCTGACAACACAGAGCTGACCAGTCAGTCTTCTTTTTTGTGGAAACATCTATCATCTCTCCCCAAAGACTTGCCTACAGGTTCTTCTGATATAAGGCAATTATTTCATATTTTCTGCATTAGTGGTGGCCACTGATAATCCCATGAAGATCTATAAAATGTCAGCTTGTTTTTTCCCAATGTACTTCACTAGTCAGTGTCTTCTTTAGATGAGGGTATTGAAGTGGTGGTTATGGAGAGAATGTGTAATAGACAGAGGCAATGAGAAATTCAATAAGAACAGACAGAGTGGTCATGTTTTTCAATTATAAGTTTAAAGGCAGAGCCTTGGGAACTGGATTTTCTTAACTTTGGGGAAAGCATGACATAATAACCTTCATTCTTTTTTTAAGAAATGAAGAGAAATGAGTAGTTTGTTCAGTTCTTGATACAAAAAAAAGTCAACTATAAAAGAATATTTTATTAGAACCATAAGTTTTGTTTGAGAAATTTTAAAACCCAAGGTTTATTTTCCATTGGTACTGCTGGAGAGTCAACAGGAATCGGGATAATTTTTTACTTGTATTTGTGCCCACTTATGAAGCACACATGTGAGGTTGGTTTGTTGCATAGGTGTGAAAGGGATTAGAAGGAGGAAAAAGGGTACAATTTGATCCACTGACCTGTTTCCCTGCCCTCAGGACTCTTTCAAACAGCTGTGAGAAAAAGGAGGAGGAGGAAGGAGGTGATTTAGCAGTTCGTCTCCAGATGTTCATTTCAAACACACCCTGAACAACTTTTGCATGGTTTATTTCATTTTCTGAAACCATTTTTCACAAGCCTGTTTTCTCAGCTGGGAAACTTCTGGTGTAGTCTTTTCAAACAAATATTGCATTTGGCATTACAAGAAAAAAAAAACTTTTGAGACATTCAAAGGACGATCTGTTTGCCTTGGTCTGCGGAAGCAGAACTAGAGGAATGTAGGCATTTCGTACCACCCAAAATATAGGTAGAGGAAAGTTCCGCTCTTAACATGCCATTTACGTGGAAATTTGAGAGTTCCTTGAGCTTGCTAATTGCAATGCTCTGCCATTTTTTTTTTTTAGTTTGGCCTGAAGTGTCAGAGACAAGAAAACTGGCTGGGACAAAAAGGGCCAGTGGAAGAATCTACCAGGCTTAGCACTAAACCCAAAACTTCCACCTGGCACTTCAAACACAGTGCCTATTTCCACAAAACCCTGTACTATTCTAGTTCCACCCAGATTCTTAAGCAAAACTGGGAGGACTGGAAGGACAATGGTTCTGAATGCTGGTGAATCTCTTAGGGAGACTCCCGCAGGACACCATCCCCACGGCTGGTCCCACACCTCAAGGTCTCAGTCCTGGCAACAGATTGTCCCGCTAGCATCACAGGAGTTGGGGTCTAGGACAGCCCCTACCCCCACCGTACAGTGAAGCTTGTCTCCTGACCAACCATGGGAGATAAATCTACTCCTCCTTCATAATTTCTTTAGGTTGAATCAAACCTGGGAATAATCTCAGGAAGGAACAGACAACCCCCAAAAGCCTGAGTCTGAATGGGAACACTACGATCTCTCTTTAAAGACAGGAAGTCAAGCCATGAGGATGGAGGGAATCAGAAGAAACAATGGAACAGAATTTTGATATGGCTGAAATAGAAAATTCAAGGTTTTAAGACCCAAAATGCGTTTTGGGTAAGTTTCTTAACCTTTCTAAGGTTAAGTTTTCCCACTTGTGGAATTGGGCACCTAAGTCCTGAGACCTGAGTGTTAAAATGGGGACCGAGTACCAGAATGCCTCCCACAGTACAAGGCTCTCAAGAGGTCCTCATTATTGGTTAGCTCTTCACATACACCCCTTAAAAAGAATAGTAAGATAACACTAGAAGTCTGTATTTCTGTGGTTATTTCTGTCAAACCCTTGTGTGTGTCTCTAAGATGCTAAAGATTTCCAGGAAGGATAGTCCAAGATGGCAAGGAGGCAGATCACGAACTCACCTCCGCCCAGCGCTACACTCAATCTACAGCTACATATGGAACAATATCCTCCGAAAACCAGCTGAGCAGCTCCTTCACTTGGAGCAGAGTGAAAAGGGCTATGTTGAGGCAGGCAGGAGAGGCTGAGATGGTCTCCAGATAAACCACACCCAGTTACAGTGATCAGGAGTGAACTCACAAGCCTGGGGCTTCTCCCTGAGCAGCAAAGAGTTTGCATCCCACATCAGACACCCCAAATTTTAAGACTTGTACCTGAGAGACAAGCCCCCAAAACTTCTGGATGGAGCTCGTGTCCAGAAGACCCAAAGGGCTGTGGTGAACTGAGAAACAGCTCTTAAACACACGGACTCACTCACCCAGTGCAGGGCCCAGTGGGAAGAGCCCAGACTTCCCATGCAAGTGATTCATTTGCTAATCTTAAAGCCTTGGGTGGAGGGGCAGGGGCTTATTGGGACCATCTCCAGGATGCAGGTCCTTGGAGGCACTGTTTTCAAGCTCTCCCTCTATCTTAACAGTGAATGACTTTCTTTTCTTTTTTTTCTCTACTTTGTTTTCTCCATTTCTTCTCTCTCCCTCTGTTTTCCTCTGTGGGTGCCCTCTTTACCCTCCAAGCAACAGGCACCACCTTTGTGTTCTCCCTCTGCCTTCCTACAGCTCACCAGTATCTTCCAGAAAGGAACATGTACAAACTCATCTGGAGTTCTGATTTTTGCAACTGTCCCCCAGGGAACATCCCCAGGTCACCTGGTCTGGTGGCCAGCAGGGCTTAGGCTTGGGGTCCACAGGAATGCACCACATAATTGCATACTGTAAAGGCTGCTGCCTGAGGGTCTGGCTTCCAGTAAGTCTGAATCAAGGTACTGACTGAGACTGCCCCCCATGGGGACACTGGTGGGTCTTAGAAGCTAGTAAAAGCAAAACAGGCTGCGTGGACAATCAAAAAGGTTCGAGAGGCAACCAGGAGTCAGAGCAAGGTTGAAAGATAAGTTTGTCCTCATATATGAGATCATTCTTTCAGGACCTGGAAAAGGTATCCAGTCAGCAGTTAGTTATGCAAGTCTTGGTGTCAGGAGAGAAATCTGCTCTGAGAATATAGATTCAATAATCATAAACCCAGAGATGATGAGCAGCTGCCTGCTTGTGAATGAGGGAGCCTAAGAGATTGGGAGGGGAAAGGGGCATAGAAGAGAGACCTGGGAACATCAGCTCTGGAGGAGACCCTGCAAAGAAAATGGAAAAGAAAATTGAATAAGAAATTTAAAGTGGAAATGAATGCGAGCCAGGCCAAGAATGTTTCTTATAAAACAAGAGGGAGGATTTTTTAACTTTTAAAACAACTATAACTAACTCAAGATATAAAGTAGCTTGGAAATAATAACAGTTGTCTAAAACTACACATTACACCATGAAATACTGGGAAGGAGAAAGAATGAAAACAAGAAAATGTGCTAAATTTCTTGACTGAAATAGGATAGAGTCAAAAGCTATTGTTTCTTCTTGACCTTGATAATTAGAGGAATATCAGATCAAGTATGTTATTTCACAAAATTTAGTAGAAACAAAAACAGGATGATTCCTCCCAAATTACTGCAGGAGATGAAAGAAATCAAAGCAGAGTTCAACTAGCAAAAGCCAGGAAATAGAGGAAATGGTAGAAAAGCATGAAATACAGAAAACATAAAATAAGATCATTGAAGGAAGTGCAAATTTATCCTCTATGATGATAAATGTAAATGATCCTAAGACCACAGAAACCATCAGTTCATGTGAAAAACAAAACTACACCTCTTGGAAGATATAATTTTTAAAAAGTGTCTAGAAAGTTTAAACATTTGGAAGTATTTGGAAAATGTGTATTAGAAAAATGCAAATAAAAACAACACAGATGTGTCGGTATTGATACTGGAGTCGAATCCTGAGTTGAAAATATATACAAAGATGATGACTTAATTTACTTGGTGATATATTCCATTATGAATAAATAACTGTGATATACTTTGCTATTCTCAACAACAGAGTATTAAGTGAATACGTAACTTTATCTTTTAGAAATTCAAAGGAAAATGTTTGGAGTATATGTATTACTCTCAACTGGACATATCATATAGACAAAGTAAATAAGGATAATAAGGCTTTATTAATGTGATAAGAATACACTAAACTTGTGCAGTACACCTCATCTGGCCAGCCACGTTTCAGTTTTTTTCCCTCTGAATTTCAGTGATCTCTTCCCAGGACCATCTTCATTTGCCTTAAGGGTGTGGTTTCCAAAAGAATATGAAATTATTCCTTCATTTGTCCTACCATATGGTCACACTTCCCTGATGCCATTCTGGACTCAGCACTGTAGATGTGTTCTGTACATGCAAGTATCCAGCCTTTTCTAGAAAGATCTTAAACTTGTTCCCTCTGATTAAAGACAAGCTCTTGAGAGACTCATAGATTCTCCAGGTTCCCATTTTGTAAGTAAACTCT